TAAACGTTCAGATTTCTGATGATGAACTCCATTTTCTTCTTCTGCATCATTTCTGATCAACAGATACAAATTAACAACAACAGTGAACAGTTAATTTAGTTCTGTCCACTCTGGTGGCCTTCAGTTCAGGAAAATCACAGCAGTAATCTTCATATTCAAAGATGATCAAAGGCAGGAAGATGCTGAGTTAGCAATTTCCATCAAAAGAACACATTCTCCTGTCAGAGGATGAAAGCCAAGAACTGGGGAATGAATCACAATAAGGACGCCAGGCCTAATTCTGACTCATTGAGCTCCAATCATGCCATCAGTTTGTGAGCGCTACAAAGAAGGACAGTAGAATTTGATGATGTCACAATTCTTTGCGTTGTCACCACCCAGAGAGGAGCAGAATGAAAAGTACTGCATCATCCCATATATGGTAACTCATCATGCAGAACTACAGACGCCTGGCACCATCAGTTTGTTTTTTTCTAGACCCAGCATATACATCAGTTCCTTTGCCCACCTCCCAGTGTGCCCTGCAGACACAGAAAACGTGACAGACCACAAGTAGACACAAAGAAATGCCATAATTGATTTTCTCTAACATCTTGAGAGAGAAGCATGTACAGTGTACATTTACACAGGAGAGCAGACATTAGTCTCCCTCTCATCCAGTAAACTGGCACTCTGTCACAGCTCTTGGGTACTATCCTAGTTAGGTATTTCTTTACTCTACTCTGTAGAATGATCCAATCCTTCCTCTAAAAGGTCCCTTACCAATTACAGTTCACCCACTGGCTATGCTTTTAATTATAGCATACTCATTTACACACAGTTACTGTGTGTAAATGAGTTTAATCAACATTACGTTCATTCAAAATGGACGATTATGCCACCAAAATGTGCCATGTATGTATATCACCAGACACTCCCTGCTGAGGACCATTGAGGAGAACCAGTCCAATCCAGTCTCATCCAGAGAAAAGAAATCTGTTTCATGATTGATTAATGATCAGAAAGTGCAAAAGTTCAAACACTGGCATAATTCACTAACTACTGTGAACAAGTGGTTAAACGCTACCCTTGGGGCTCTGGGTGGTTACCTCAAATCAAGATTTCCGTGTTCAACTGTTGGATGGAAAGATCATTTCTTTTCTGACTTATTGTGCTTTGACTCAAGAAAAGGTTACAATCCTTTACAACATGACTTTATTTGGATCCACAATTAGATTCAGCTTACACTGTTTGCTATTTTTCCTGTGGTCCTAGACATCAATACATAGAATCACACACGAGAGAAGAAGACTACAAAATTTAGTACAAATCTTCTGTTAATGTGAGATGACAATGGAATTAAACCAAACAGTATTTCCTCTTTCTTGGACCACAATAGCCTGGTTACCAGACTATCCTCTCTGCAAACAGGCTAGCACCACAAGGGCAATTATCCCACAAAAGATTATCCCACCCATACTTCAACCACTCTGGAACAAAGTCAAACCATGTGGATTCTGGACAGATACAAATTTCTTCCTCCTGAACATCACATGGGGTCTGACAGGTAGTTAGTTTTAGAAACCCTGAGGGACTGGAAACTACCTCCCTTCACACAGCCACACCCCTGCACCAAGCTCTCAGTTTGCTTCCCCCACTAAAAAGTGCTAGGCTCTAAATTTTATTACGGTACTAACTACATGTATTCAATATACCGGTATGTGAACTCTACTATGATACAGCTTTCTGTATCATACAACAGTTACTAGTGCTACATGTATTTTGCAATGTCCTGATCACAATTTATCAATTTACCATTCATTATGAATGATTATCAGGTTGTACTTTTTTTTAACATACACCTTTTGAACACACAGGGGTCGCTAGACTAGTTCAGGCATTGTCCAATACAACAGAATGTGTGAACATTCAATTTTCCCAACCACAGCTAGCCTGGCTCTCAGCATTTTTCCTGTCCCAATGATTTACTGTTTCTCTACAGGAAGGAGCTGAGTTCTCTTCCTGTAGAGCTGCAGGGTGCAGTGACAGATCACTGACTGACACAACTCTCCTGGTGGTTTGCTGCAGGGACAACTTTAATGAACCTACAGACAACACTGCTGATGTACCATTAACATGCCACACATACTCCCCTAGGCAGCCATATGGTGCAGAACCATCCTACCAAGACATTACCAG